AAGATTTCTATGTCATAATTATAGTATGTAGAGAACAATTAAGAACAAATCCTTATGCAATATGATTCTAGATTTACTATCTATATTACTTGTTCGATACATATAATTACATGTACTAAATCAACAACAATTGAAAGCAAGTTAATGACTTCATTGAGGTCCATATTGCCATCCAAATATTGACCATACTCATCATTCTCAATCTTTGGTGTGTTGTAGAATCTATTCATGGTTTGACTATAAAAAGCTACTATTTTTCCTTTACAAAAACAACATCATTGTTATGCTCGAAGGCATTCGTATAAAATGCACACACTACTAGTATAACTAATGCTTCTGGTTAAGCACAATAATTTTCCCACTTTCTCTCTTCATTGATGTAAAAATATTCCTATAACGAATGGTGGGCACAATAATGCCTTTTTTTGACATTGGAGACCCTTGAAGTACTGACTAAGTATGGCGCTTAAATGACTCACTAACATAAATTTTGTCAAATCAAATCACCTACTCCCACTAGTCCTAGCCCTTTGTGGTGCCATAATAACCCAAACTTGAAATTCAACTTAAAGCCACAAAGTCCAATTGCACCAAAAATAACCAAAAGTATCAACATATATCTCGATTATCTTAATTCTCTCCACAAACCAGTTCCACAATTTGAAAACCATAAAAAATCACAAAATCTACAATTAAATCCTGCAATTGAGCACTATTCATTATTATCAACAATCAAATTCTCAAAATCCACCACATAAATCACCAAAACTTCAAGCACAATTAACACAATTTCAAAAGTATTGAAGACCAATCATTAGTTACCAACAAAAACTCTTCCAACATAATCAATGCTCTCAAAAATAAGAATTCTTGAAGATTTGGCACTTACTTGGAAAAAAATCTACACTTTGATGGAAGAAAGTTGGTAAAACTCCTTGAATTGTGCATTTGTTGAAGAAACTTGAGTTTTTGAAAAGTTTTATAAGTGGGTTTGAGGGATTTTTTTTTTGGTAGAAAGAGAATTGAGATATTTTTGGCTAGGGTTTGAATATGGGAGGAAGAAAGAGAAAGAGAGCTTAAATAAAAGGAGAACCCTTGACCTAGTGCCCCGGTGCTAGAGTTACTGCCTTTTTCTTTTTTTAAAAAAATGAATAAAAAAAAGAGGAAAAGAGATATTCGTACTACCTGCAAAAAAGAAAATAAAGAAAAAATTAGTAGATAAAATTAAAACCAAAGACTAAATATTGTAAAACTAATAAAACATAAAGAGGACTATTAAAGAAAAATGACAAGTGTGGAAGAAATTAGGTTATCCCTCAAGAAGAGCTTTGTTTATAGTCATCAGCCGGACTCTCCTTCAGGCTTAAATTGATTCAGAAAGAATTATGGAGGAGTGTTGACAATCGATGTCACCACCCTAATAATGGTTCAATTGTTGCCCATTCACCTTAACTTTCTTATTAGTCTTACCATCAACAACTTCCACTGCACCATGTGGGAACACTCTCAAAACAAGAAAAGGTCCTAACCACCTTCATTTTAACTTGCCTAGAAATAGCTTCAATCAAGAGTTAAACAACAACACATGTTGGCCCAGCCTAAAGTGGTTCTCAACGATCTTCCTATCATGCCACTTCTTAGTCTTTTCCTTGTACATTTTGGCATTTTCATAAGCATCCAATCTAAACTCATCCAATTCATTCAACTGCAATAAACGCCTCTCACCAATCACTTCTAAATCAAAGTTCAACTTCTTAATGGCTGTCAATTAAAATTCTACTACACAAATATATGTATCGAATAGACAGTATATTAGCAAGCAGAGTATCGATCCAATAGGGAATTGATCTAAAATTTTACTAAGTACTAAAATTAGAACAATTTAATTTTATTCAAATAATTAAAATCTGAATTCTAATTGAACTAAAAATTATGCAACTAAAACTAATTTAATTAAAAATTAAAGCAACAAGATAATTAGGCAAACAGCAAATCAAACAAGCCTAGGATTACAATATCCCTCACACTTCATCTAAATCTTACCTCTCTTCCTTAACTTATTTCAATGGGTTGAATTGCTAACCTAGAGTCCTAAATTATTTATAAGGGTCTCCCAACTCATCTTATGAAAATATCTATTTTAACCAAAACACTATATCCCTATGTGAATTGAAATTAAAACAAACTCATTAAGTTCAGGCTCTAATCTGGCTACCTATAGCCTATAGGTATATCCCTATCCTATACGCAAATCAATTAATATGATCATATGCTATCTCAATTTTAGCCTACACTAAACTCCCTTTCCCAAGTTTGTTTAGGTTCCTAGATCAATTTAATTGGTGGCCAAGCAATTAAAAGCATTAAGAACAAATCAGAATAAACAATTCAAATCCCATTAAAAATAAGCAAGAAAGAGATTAGAAATTTAAATTACATGTGAGTTCAATTGCAATCCCAGAAAAATAAATTAGCTCATAATATCTAATAAAGACAATATCCAAAGAAATTTAGCCATGAATCCAAGTCAAAGAAAATAAGAAAAACACAAAAGTAAGAGAGAAAACAAATAGTTAGAGCTTTGTGATCTTGATTCTCCCTCCAATTCTCTTATTTTCTTGCTTTGTTCTTGTCTTCCAATCTCTAGAATAGTTGCTTGCTGTCTCCCTCTCAAAATGACTGAAAAAGACCCCTTAAATAGGCTCTAAATAACCAAATTTCCAAAATCCCGTCAACTTTTTTTCTTTTTAGAAAGTCTCCCGGTGCTGCGGCACTAATTCTGCAGCGCTGCAGCGCTGATCTCTCTGGAAATTTGTATGTGTGCTTCCTTTCATCCACGCT